GAGTGTTTTTGTAGCATGAAAAGTTTTGAAAAACCTGTAGAGTCAAGCCAAAGGGGATGACGAGAAGACACCACATCAATAGAAGATACAAAAGACATATAAGAGAAGATGGGCTGTCAAAATAAGATGGCACATCAAGCATTGTTTATAAGGCGTTAAGGCGACCTAAGGCGAGCTCCACCCGCTCTGACACCCAAAGTGAGCATGCATCGCCTTATCACGTAAGCGACGCTTAAGCGTCTAAAGGAGGGCGCTTTATAAACATTGGCATCAAGCGAATGAAGCTTTGCGCATAAAATCATAGCCCAAGAAAACCGGCGGCGAAAGAAGCTCGATGGCAAGAATGAGTGTAGATCAGCAGTGCAAAAAGAGGCCATGAAATTCCTATAGAAAACCACAAGGACCACGTAGGCCCCTAAAGTTGTATAGAAAGGACAAGAACCTGAAAAATAAGGCTGACACATAAAGATTTGGTTGACTCGCATGGCATGAGAACATGTAAAAGAGCAACGGACTTGGTGGACGCAGCGGAAAATATAGAAAAATAGAAGCTAAGAAGCACGCAAGAGACGAAGATGGAATAGCTACCGTGTATGCAGAAGAGGCTGCAGAGGAGACCGTGCAGGTGAGATGCCGGCGAGGAGCGGCAGAAAAGAGCAACTAGCGGACGAACACCCAACACCAATGGAAGGTGTATGTGCGAGACATAATCGGCAAAGAACACTGTTGACAATCAGCAGACGTTGTAATATGTTTTTTACTATCAACTGGTGGAGCAGGCCAGCAGGAAAAAATGAGACAAATATTACACAGCAGCACGTAGCAGAAACAAGTAGAGAAGGCACAACAACACGTAGCAAGCAGCAACCAGGAGCATGGCTAAGAAGAGCAGCGACATATCAGCAGGAGAAGGCTGGCAGGAGGCCGCGGCAGGGCCACGAGGCCTGCAGGGTGGAACAGCACGCAGGCTGCTAGAGCTGCACGGGTGGGCCTGTACGTGGAGCAGAGCGTGGCGGCAAGTCTGGCCGAGAACATACGAAGTGATAGCGGGCAGCCAAGAGAAGAGAGAATCTACTTGAGAAGAGCGGATCGATGGAATCTGATCGGGAGACCAAAACAAAAAATCGATTGGGAGAGTAGGATGAGCTGCGGCATCCAAGACCTAAATCTAGGCTCTAATGCCATGTCATAGATGCAACTTACCTCTTTTGCTTTTGATGGGAAGTCCTTCGTGGCTGCTTTATTACTTAAACCATGCTTACATTATCCGCTAAAAAGCTAGAAATAAACTCAGGGGGTGTGTCCAACCACAAAGTCGAGGATCAAGATATCTCTGTTGAGCTAAAACATTAGCAACCATATTAGACTATTAAAATGTTCAAAAGAACCTTTCCGAAATCTTCCTAAATACTACGACATTCTTCAATGATAGGGGCAGCCACCATGGCTTGCCCACTAGTCATGTTCAGTGCTTCCACAACAACCAAATTATCCACCTGTACCAGGAGTGAGTTTATACCAAGTTGAAGTGCCAACTTCAGACCTTCCACCAGGGCCGCTGCTTGTGCTGAGACAATATTGCCAGCACGCTCTGGTTTTGCAGTAGAAGCACCAATGAAAGCACCCAGGTGATCCCGGACGACAGCACCAGAGTAATCCTCCTCAGGAAAAGATGCATCAACATTCAGAACCAGCTGACCAAACAATGGCTTCCTCCATCGATTGATGTGTGGGCTTGTATGAGGTTTGCCATTTGCCGGTACATAATTTAGCTCTAAAGCTTGAATGGCTGGACCTGTGGGAACAGGCTGTTGCACCTCCTCATTCTTTGAAATTTGCCGTCTCTGCCACCAAAGATACAAACTAGTGGCCGCGATCATCTCCGGGTGTTGGACCACATCCATGTACAGTTTTTTGTTGGTCAGTCACATAGCAAGATCTCCAGAATTTCGGTGCTCGATCTCTGCGGTGCACATGCACGGGTTATAATTTCATGTAGCCTAAGGACCTGCCACACTTCCTGTGCCCGAGCACATTTGAATAATGCGTGTGCTACATCCTTTGCGTGAGTCTGGCACACCGGGCATTGACCCGTGGTAGCAATGTGACGGTTAGCAAGTATGCCCATACATGGGATTGCATTATGCAAGTATAACAAAGCCTTTAGTCCCAAGCAAGTTGGGGTAGGCTAGAGGTGAAACCCATAAGATCTCACAACCATCTCATGGCTCTGGCACATGGATAGCAAGCTTTCATGCACCCCTGTCCATAGCTAGCTCTCCAATCCTTCAGGTCTCTCTTAACGGACTTCTCCCATGTCAAATTCGGTCTACCTCGCCCTTTCCTGACTAGCAAATCCCACAAACCGTCGTCAAATCCTGCAAACAAATAGAAACACATATGCATATTCAAACTAGCAGTTCACGCCACTTAAGACATCACCGGACTTCATACTTAAAACATAGTTTGTACTTGAACAACACCGGAGTTCATACTAGCATAAAATGAAAATTAAACAAGATCTACTCGTCATCACCATCATCGGACTTACTAACGCCGAAGTGGTGCTTTGTGAGGGAGTTGGAGAGCACTAAGGCGAGGTCGTACTCCTTCAATGTCGGCACCCACGCCGTTGCACCTTTGTCTCCTGTGGGGGCCGCCTACTCCGCCTCGAACCATGCGACCTCCGCCAGTCGGAGACGCTTGAGCGTGGGGTAGAAGATGCAGTTGAGCCTGTTGAAGTTGGTCCACGCTCGTGCTTCGGTGCTGCGGGAGTGGGCGCCGCGTTTGCTCCTTGTGCCACTCCACCAGTGGGCGGAGGGAGGAGCTCCCGGCCTCAGCGTTGTTGCGGCGCTTGCGAGGCAGCTCGCCGTCGCGGCCGCCAAGCCCCCCCCCTCGGCCACCCCTCCCGCCACCCGCACACGACACCGGGGCTCAGTTCCAGTGGCTACGCTCGCCTCAAAATGATGTTGGAGGGAAGGCGATTTGTCGGCGGAGAAGTGGAAATGCGGCGGAGGAGGATAAGAGCATCTCTAGCCGACACCTTAAATCGCGGACCCGTAAATTGAGTTTACAGTTCACAGAATGCGTCGGATATAGGCCGAAAATGAATCTGTAAATTTTGAAATCTGAACTTCATGGGAGAAATCAAACTACTTAAGTAGAACTAGCAGCGTTTATAGATCACCATACATAGCATTTTTTATACAAAGTAGATCGGAGGAGCGGCGGCCATCGTATACCCTACTGCCAACATTTGGCTCACCGGAGCCATCCGGGTGCGGCGATGCTGCGACGGCAGAGTTCAGTCGTCGTCGAAGGAGACGAGGTCAACATATCTTTTGTCCTGTGCCTTGGCTTTGTGTCCCCATCCCTTGAGGTTGGCGTCGAAGTCCTGCGCCTTGGCGAGCCCTTGCTCGAGGACGACGTCGTCGAGCTCGCCTAAAGTTTGACGACACTGCTCCATCTTCTCCCGCGCATGCGCGCGACGATGGCCTTCTTAAAGATGTCCGCCTTGGCCGGGGGAGGAAATCCTCCTGCCCGATGACGCTACCGCCCGGCCGCACCGGCCCCTTTGGCTACCCTTCACCGCGCGGAGCAGCGGGAGCTTCTCCGGCTCCCTTTTCACCGGCATGAGGAGCGACGTACGGGAGCTCGACCCCCTGGCGGAGCTGCCTGCAGCGGAGGAGCTGCCCGAGCCGGAGGACAGACGCGCCTGCCTGCGGTCGTACTCCTCCGTCTTGCGGCGGAGGGCCGACGGCGCTGGCTGTAGGCCGCGGTTCATGTACTTCTTCACGGTTTGCTTCCTCGAGCCGTCCGCTCTGACACACCGCTGCCGCTCGGGGTTGTCGCTGCCGTCGAAGCGGTGGCTCGAGCTCCACATCCCATGCCACATAGTGGGGAGCGGTGGCGGATTTAGCTCATCGGCGGGGAGAAATGGGAGAGGGGATTGGGGAATCGTGGCGGCGGGGGGATAGGGTTTCGCCCTGTATAGTCGCCGCAAACCCGTAGATATACCGCGTGCGGGGGGCAGTTTGCGGGCCACCGTAAAATCTTTTACATGCCGGGCGACTATACGGGCTCTGGTCTGGCCCAAAAAACATGCCAAACGCGTATAGTCGCTGGGATTTTACAGTTTTCGTGTTTTTAAGGAGTCTGCTAGAGATGCTATAAGGGAAAAGGAGGGCACAAACCCTAAATCAGCCTAGTGCCGGTATATTTTACGGATTCGGGGGCGGTTTATGGGCCAGGCCGTTTTTACCGGACCTGTTCAGGCCGGGTTTTTGGAGCGTCCTGTAAATTTGCCGAAAAAACCCGTCTCGGCGAGCTTTTACATGAACTGCTAGAGTTGCTTGCCGGGCCGCATTTTTCCGGTGAATTTACGGGACGCTCCAAAAAACCGGCCCGACCTGTAAATTTTTTATGGGAGGCCCGTAAACCGCCCTTGAATCTGCAATATATATCGACGCTAGGTTGTTTTAGGGTTGTGTTCTCTTTTTCCCTTATCCTCCTCCGCCGCATTTC